ATTCACACCTATTTAGCCAAGCCTAGAACAGGTTCAAATGAGATTTTTCAGTAATTTGATTCTAGCACAGGACAGCTAATTTAGATATCCATTTACAATTGCATGTCAAATCTGGAATGAACTTGAGGTTGAAGACAATGCAAAGCCAGGAAACCATATTCTGTCAATGTTATGAGCAGGTTGGTGGTTTATTTGTGTGTCAATTGTTTTATGGATTCCCAATAATTTACCATAAATTAATATTCCATAATGTACAAAAGATTCCACCAAAGAAATGTTGAGCTCTTAGAGTGACTTTACTTTGTTTTCAAATGCGAAATCTAAATTTCTTTGTTGACTTTTACATGGATATGGATGCAGGGAGTGCAACCGTTTGATAGGACATCCCTGTATCTTGTATTTGTAGTAGCTCCATATTGACTTCATAGATTTTAAAGTAATAGGCTGTAGTGTTACCGTGCACTATTATTTTCATTTGAGTTTCATGGTGTATTCATATTTGCTTCTGCAACATGAATGTTATAGATAATGTTATAGATAACTTATTGAATTATGTGGAACTCTGAACAACTGTTCCCCAGCAATAATTTCAAAATTTATCCTTAACACCAATGTCTGGAATTATAATTGCCTTTTTGAGTCTCACAGGAGAAAAGAAAAAAGTATGGTCATGTGAACTCATATTTTCTTGCTAAGAGTTTTTAAAACTCTGTTTGGATGGAACTATACTAGTAATACATTTCAAAGTTCACTTGTGGCTAACATATTGTAGGACTAGGAGGTCTATGTGTAGGGTTTATTTTATTTTAGTTCATATGTGATTTTCATAATGTGTTACTTACTGATTGCTGCTCTCAATTTACTATGAGCATTGTATGTCATTATGAGCTATTGAGCTGTCATTATAACTTGCCCATTCTGCATCACTTTCATCACTTAAGGAGTCAGAGTCACGTCTTTAGCTATCTTTTTAGTGCAGATATGACAAAATCCCAATTTTTTGCAATATTTGAGTTTGAATGTCCTTGTGAGATTGTTATCTTTTTATGTTGACTGTATGCATGTTTGTTTTTTCCGCAATCAAAATTTGCAGGCCTAGGTATCTTGTGACAAAGCAATATATCTAATCCAGAGGCACTACAGAGGACTACAGAGGTCTCTTCTCTTACTGGTAAAATTTATGCACGATTGTAGTTCAATTTTATGATACTATCTTGATACCATTTATAGGCAATGACAATTTGGCTGTAGTTTGCATCATTTAATGCTGGATTTAGTATCTTGAGATAGAAGACAACACCAAGCTGAGGCACCATGTTATGTCATCTTATGAGCAGGTTAGCTATATATATATTTCTTACTTAATAGTTCCTTCTTTTGATCAATGATTTTAGGGATTCAATATCATTAGATTACATTTTAAAAAATGTTGAGCTCTCC